GATCGCGGATACAAGCGGACGAAATGAGATTCCTCCGCAGGGTGGCTGGGCTCAGCCTTAGAGATAGGGTGAGGAGCTCAGACATCCGAAGGGAGTTCGGAGTAGAGCCGCTGCTCCTTTGCGTCGAAAGGAGCCAGTTGAGGTGGTATGGACATCTTGTTCGGATGCCTCCGGGTAGGCTTCCTCTGGAGGTTTTCCAAACTCGTCCACCTGGGAGGAGACCCCCAGGACCCACTGGAGAGATTATATCTCTCAGCTGGCCTGGGAACGCCTCGGGATCCCCCAGGCAGAGCTGGAAAGCGTCGCCGGAGGGAGGGAGGTCTGGGATGACCTGCTCCGCCTACTGCCCCCGCGACCCGACCCCAGATAAGCGGAAGACAATGAATGGATGGAGGTCATAGTTTATACATATATATACATATATGCATGCTAATGCACGTTTAGTTATTCTCTGTACAGTATCTGTTATCAACTTGGCTGAATGCAAAATGCAAAAGCATCTGTTGCTTATCCTACAATACAGAATACTATAAGCAGTCCAAGCTTTCTGCAGAGAAGAGGGAGAGGTGATTAAAATATGTTTTTATCTAAATGAGACGAGGTGACCAGTGATGCACAGTAACCTGCTGGAAGAAACCGTAGTCGAAAATCCATCCATCTATCCATTTTCAGGACCTGATCAGGCCATCTATCCCAGCTGGGGGATAAAATGTAGAGCACAGCAATGATGTTTTCAAGGCAGTGAGAACTATTTTAATAATTCCTTTTTTTTTCTTATGACGTAAAACAAACTCCTTGCAAGCGTTTAACTGATGTGCTTTTATTTCAACAACAAACCAACATCAGCGAGAAAAGACTTTACCAACACAAATGCGATAACCTTATTGAGAACGAAGGATGAAGCAGACGCTTGCAGAGCACTATGAGACCAACGGAGCATCTGATTCTCCCCTTGTGAGCAGTCCTGAAGAGGGATGGGGTGGATGGTGGTGAGACAAGCAGGACAGAAATGCAAAGGACTGCTTTGAATGTAAAGAGGCTAAATAGACGGTTTCATGCAGTTGATGGATGAACGAGCTGAAGAGGGGGGCAGGAGGACAGAGGAGAGGCTGGACCAGAGAGAAAGGCGTGAATCATCCTGGGTTGAGATGCAGTAAATTTCCAGTAAGAGGAGCCTGCAAAGCTATTTGCTCATCATTTCAAACCTTCACTTCACCGCCGATTGACCAGAACTTCTTTCGCTGCTCAACTCTGTATCAGGTTTGTGTCCAAGACTGAAGTTGTGATTTTGTTGATGAATTTTGGAGAATATCAAAACAAATTTCATAGAATTCTCTCTTTTTCATTACAGACACAACATGGACATTTCTTTGTTGAAGAATGCTTCCTTCAGCCACGGCAGTATTTATGATTCTACCAGTGTGGTATTAGCTGTGGCTACAGTTACAGTCAACATCCTCCTGTGTCTGCCTTTGAATGGTTACGTCATATGGCTGATATTAAGAAGGAATCAAGGGAATTTGTCTTCTGACTTCTTTTCTCTCAACCTGTCCATGTGTGAGATCCTTTTTGCCTTATTCACATTGTTGTATATTCTCTCCATAAGCCTGAAATTATCCTTCTTTTTGAAAGCAAGTATGTTTTCACTTGGCCTCCTCCTTACAGGCCGTCCTTTCTTCCAGTGTTGCATCTGTCTTGACTGCTATGTTGGGGTCGTCCACCCTGTGTTTTTTCTTCGCTGTAAACCCCTGCG